GAAAATAATTCCATTTATAATAGAATCAAAAAGAATAAAATACTTAGGAATACATTTAACAAAAGAAATTCAAGACTTCCACACTAAAAACTACAAAACATTTTTGAAATTAAGTAAAGCAGACCTAAATTGATGGAAAGACATCTGGTATTCGTGGATCAGAAGACCTAAAGTTGTTACAATGGCACTACTCTCCAAACTAATCTACAGTTTCAGTGCATTCCCTATCAAAATTCCAATTACCTTTCTTTACAGATATTGACCAGCTAATTCTAAACTTCATATGTAAATGTAAAGGACTCAAAATAGCCAAACAATATTGAAAAAGAAGAAAAATGTTGGAACTTTTACACCTGAAAACTTACCACAAAGCTACACTAATCAAGACAATGTGATACTGACATAAGAACAGACATAAAGAGCATTGGAACCGAACTGAAAGTCAACAAATAAACTTCAACATACTTCTATAGCCAACTGATTTTTGACAAGGACACCAGAACAACTCAATGGAGGAAATAAAAGCCTTTTTAATAAATGATGTTGGGACAAATGTCTATCTCCACATGAAAAAATGAATTTGAACCTCTAACTCGCACAGTATAAAAATTAACTCAAAATGGATAAAAGATCTAAACACAAAAGCTAGGACTATAAAATTCTTAGAAGAAAACAATGATGTAAATTCTAATGACCTTTGATTAGGCAACAGTTTCTTAGACATCACAACTAAAGCACAACCAACCAATGATAAAATAGATTGGACTTCATCAAAAATTTTTAAATTTTGTTCATTAAGAGGCACTATCAAGAAAGTGTAAAGGCAAACCTTTATTTGCAAATCATACATATATGTGATAAGCATCTTGAATTCAGACTATATAAAGAAGTCTTACAATTAAACAACAAGAAGACAAACAACCTAATTTAAAAAAGAGCAAAGGACTCAAATAGGCACTTCTCCAAAAAAGATACACAATGTCCAACAAGACACAAAAAGATGTTCACCATCATGTCATTAGGTAAATGAAAATCAAATCCACAATGAAATACCACTTCACACCCACTATCATGGCTATCATTTTTAAAAATAAAAAATAACAATTATTAGCAAAGATGTGGAAAAAATGGAGCCCTCATACATTGCTAACGAGAATGAAAAACGGTGCACTTTGGAAAACAGTTTGGCAGTTCCTCAATAAGTTAAACTTATAATTACCATATGACCTTGCAATTCTATTCCTAGGTATACACCCTAAAGAACTGAAACACAGGTGTTAAAATAAAAATTCGTATAGGTGAATGTTCATAGTAGCATTATCTGCAATAGCCAAAGGTGGAAACAACTCAAATGTCCATCAACTGATAAATAGATAAACAAAATGTGGTGTGTACATACAATGGAATATTATTCAGTCACAAAAAGGAATGAAGTACTGATACATGTTGCATAAATGTTGAAATCATTATGCATATGAAAGTGGTCAGACCCAAAAGGCAGCATATCCTATGATTCTATTTACATGAAATATCCAGCATATCGGGCTGGGAAAAGGGGGAAATTGAGGAGCAACTGCTTAACAGGCGTGAAGTTTTCTTTTTGGGTAATGAAAAAGTTCTTACCAAAAAAAAAGTCATCTTACCAAGTCTAGTCTTACGAAGTTCATAAAGAAACCTAATAACACAAAAATGCAAAATATGAAACATTTAAATTGTCATAGTTAAACCTATTGGTGACAGAATAAGACACAAAATGCTAAGAAAAAAATTTAATCCTCACTAATGGCAAGAAAAATCTGAGATCTAAGCTAAAAAGAGCTAATGTAGTTATTAGCCAGTATGTCTGCTCTTATGTAAATGGCTAATAGGGGTAGGGTTTTTCGAGAAGTATAAATCCCAGCAAGACTCAATTACTGTCTGACCCCGAGACTCTTAGTCATAGGCCAAGAATCCTCAAGCTGAGGGAAACTCAATTCATTTCCAAACACTAGGGAAATGGAACTTTGAAGTCTGGAAGGGCAGAAATCAGAAGAATTGTATTCTAGTTCCCCATTCAACTCAACACACTCATTTTTCCTACTCTTTCTCCGCCTGCAGAGGCTAGATAGCAGAGATTGAATTCTTAATTTCTTGTAGTGGGGTAAACGTCCAGCAGGGGGAGATGGTAGGCTAGCCTAGATTCTGCAGTAACACAAAATTCTAAACACGACTTAGATTTTCTAAGAGCATCTTATAAACTGGGTTAAATAATTGAAATAATCCTAATTTTTACAATTCTCACCAAACTAAATAGATTAATAATTTTTTAAGATTATCCAGTTAAAAACATGAAAAAGTCCCAATTCTATTTAAAATATCATTTACTCTGGCTGTATCTTCATTCAGGAATAGGGGAAATTAACTAAATGTTTTGTTAGAAATCCACTTGGGCTTTATTCGTTTGAAAACAGCCACTATAGCTACATTATATATTTTATTCTTGGTAGAAAAATATGTAAATGCCTCTAAAATTGATCAAAACTTTTTTAATAGAAAGAATACTATGGCAATTTTTACTCACAATTTAGTAACCTACTCCCACTTATCTATCTGTACTTCAGAAAATTATTCCAGCATTCTGTTTTCCTTGCTGACCCTAAAATATCTCAAATAATTATGTAAATCTGGTATTTACCTTTAAAAATTCTTAAAAATACTTGATAGCTGCAAAATTACCACAGAAAATTCTCTTTGCGTGTTCCTAATTTCCTAGATTGGAAGAGGATAAGGTATGAGACAGAAGAGAAGTAAATAATGATTTTATGACTATATTTTTTCCAAATTCGTTATTATACAATTAAGGTAATTAGTATGCAAACATGAGATCGTTAAGATTACTCATCTCAGCCTTTTCCAAAACAGGAGTTGAAACAGCTCTTATAAGTTTTTTTTAAACAACTTTAGTGATATAGTGTATTAACATAAAATTCAGTGGTTTATATTATATTTACAGAGCTTAGGACACTTTTATCATCTTAAAAAGAAACCTCATACCTATTAACAGTCACTTCCCATTTTAGTCCTTTGTGGCCGCTCTAACAGAATACCATAAACTGGGTAGCATATAAACAACAAAAATTCATTTCTCACAGTTCTGGAGGCTGGGGAGTCCAAGATTAGGGTGCTGGCCGATTGAGTGTCTGGTGTGGGCCCACTTCTTGGTTCACAGACAGCCATCTTCTTGCTCTAACCTTACCTGATGAAAGGGTAAGGAAGCTCTCTGGGGTCTCTTTTATAAGGGCACTAACCCATTCATAAGGGAAAGTTTGTGTCCCCCACCCAAATTCTCAAAGGCCCCCAACTCCAAATATCATCACTTGGGAATTCAGCATATGAATTTGGTGAGGGGACACAAACTTTCAGTCTATAGTACTCCCCATTATTTCCACCCTATCCCCGCCAGCCCTAGACAAACACTTAACTACTTTCTGTCTTCATAGATTTGCCTGTTGTGAATATTTTCAAATAAATGGAACCACTCAATATGTGCTCTTTTGTGGCTGACTTATCTCACTTTGTATAGTGTTTTTGACTTTCATCCTACTATAATGTTTGGCTTCTTCATTCCTTTTTTTTTTTTTGCTAAACAGTATTCCATTATATGCATAAAACATACTAAATAGCATGCTTTGCTTCTTCATTCATCAGTAGGACATTTGGGTTGATTCCACTTTAGGGCTATTACGAATAATGCTGCTATGAACATTTGTGTACAAGTTTTTGTGAGGACGTTTTCATTTCTGTTGAGTATATGCTCAGGAGTGGAACTGCTCAGTCATACGGTATCTCTGTTTAAAATTTTGAGGAATTGCCAAAATGTATTCCAAAGTGACTACACCATTTATAGTCCAGTCAGCAATGAATGAGTTTCAATTTCTCTACATCCTCACTTATTGTGTCTTTTTTTATTATAGTCATCCTAATGAGTGTGAAGTGGTACCTCATTATGATTTTGATTTGAATTTATCTAACGATTAATGATGTTGAGTATCTTTTCATGTTCTTACTATCCATTCATATACCCTTCTGAGAAGTATAGCACAGGGAAATATATACAAGATCTTGTGGTAGCTCACAGCGAAAAAGAATGTGACAATGAATATATGTATGTTCATGTATAACTGAAAAATTGTGCTCTACACTGGAATTTGACACAACATTGTAAAATGACTAGAACTCAATAAAAAATGTTTAAAAAAAATAAAAACAAACAAACAAATTTACTTCTCACAATTCTGAAGGTTGAAAGTCCAAGATTAGGGTGCCAGCATGGGCCCTCTTCCTGGCTTGTAGTCGGCTACCTTCTTGCTGGATCCTCACATGGTAGAGAGAAAGATCGTATCTCTCTTGTCTCTTCCTATAAAGGCACCAATTCCATTTATGAGGGCTCCACCCTCATGACCTAATTATCTCCCAAAGGCTCCACCTCCAAACACCATCACATTGGGCGTTAGGGCTTCAATATATGAATTTTGAGGGAAACAAACATTCAGTCCATAGCATCCACCTTTATTAGAAACGGAATTTTTTACATGACAAAATAGAGGCGCTATACATTTAAAAACCTAATAATTTAAATGAAGTGAAACATAGTATCAATTAAGAAAAGATTTTAAAAATATAATACCAATTTCAGACAATAATTCTTCTATCTAGTAAACTATTTTGTGATATAAAATGTATATGTCATAAAAAGAATTTCTACCATGTTAATAAAAGTTACGTGAGGCACCATTGACTTATCTACTTTTCTTTCCAGATTGTCTCCAAGACCAGAGGGAAGAGAAGTTATGATAAAAAGGAAAATAAAATGTTAGACATCTAATAGCAATGTTAGCATTGAATATTAAGTCAGTATTTATGACATCAACAGTTCTACACAAATACTGGGTAAACAAAGTATTCTTTTTGTACAACTGAGATAATAAAGCACATTTTCAATTTATTTCCTTTTCTCTTGCACTGATGCAAAATTGCTATTCTTATATAAATCTTGTTTTTCCTTGCCAATGAAGATTCTTCAAAAAGAATTTCAAATAACTAGATTTGGCATATTTACATAGATATATATTTAATCTTAACTGAGTTAAACAACTGATCAACAGAAAAATATAGCCAAAAAGGTACCCAGGGAATCATTATTTAACAAAAAGATAAACTAAGTGGAAATTTTTTTTTTCTCCTGGAACATAAACTTAAGTTTAGAAAAGTTACTTCCATGATATGAAGATTGCCATTTTCTCTTTTCTAGCTGCACTAAGTGACCTCATCTAATATCATGGCTATTCAGTAACGACTTGCAAATCAATTTCATCAGTACCAAATTGTTCCCTGAACCCAACTTGGATATCCAACTGCCTACTCAACATCTCCAAACTAACATGACCAAAAAAGAATTCCTGATTCCACACTCCTCCAAGTCTGTTCCTCATCTCTACATTCCAGAATTCACCCAGTTGCTCAAAAATCTAGGTATCATCCTTTACTCCTCCCTTTCTCTGTCCTCATATCCAAGCTATCAGATGATCCTATCTTCTTCATCTTTAAAATAGAACCTGAATCCAGTATCTAACCACCTCCCCAGCATCTACCACAGGAGTTTAAGACTCTTGGCCTGGAACACTGTAATAACCTAACTGGTCTTCTGCTTTCACCCTTAATCCTCTTCAGTTTATCCTCCACACCACAGCCCCATACAAGTAAGTAAAATTATGTCACTCCTCTGCTCTCAACCCTTCTAATGGCTTCCCATTACATACCCACACCAGGTTATAAGGATCTTCATGAACTACTCTCTGGCTTTCTTCCCTATTTCATTTCTTACCATTCTGCTCCCTTAATTACTATGTCATAACCTTACTGGCTTCTGCTATTCCTCAAACATGCCAGGTAAGTTAACATTTTTAAGCCTTTCTACTTGCCTTTACCTTTCCCCAGAATGCCCTTTCCCCAGATGTTCACATGGTTCATACACTTAGGGCCTCTGCATGTCACCTTTTCAAATAGGCCTTCTCTAAACATCTTATCTAAAGTAGCAACTCTCTCAAAGATGTATCTTTTTTATGTATAATTTGGTGGAAGGCAGGGCCTGGTAATGAAGTCATTTTTCACTAGTGGGCTAAAGAATCTAGATCCTGAAAAGTAAAGCTAGCCACATTGAGGCTCTCCTGAGCCATGGATTTCTATCCATGAGCCAGTCTTAGCACTCCCTGAAGATGGCAGTCTGCTGGTGAAACAAGTATGGAAACTCAAGTTGAGCCACTTGGTCTCTCTACCACCGAGGAAGGAATTTAGTCCAGTATGCTCAGTTTGTTTCTGTCCCTATTTCTTGCTTTTTCTTCATAGCACCTGATACTATGTATTTGTTTACATGTGTATTATCTGTCTTCTCTAATGAAATGTAGTAAATTGCACAAAAGGAAGTACTGTATAAACAGCCCATGAAAGAATATCTGGCACACAGTAAGCTTAATAAATATGTATTAAATCAAAAATAAATGAATAAATAGGATTTCTAGTCTCAATACCATCCAATAATACAGTTTTGGGTTCTGTTTTGTTTTAAATGGAAAAAAAAAGAACCACAAGAATGTGCCCTTAAAAACAAATATATTCAGCTTGATTTCTCTCAAATGGTATGAATTTTATTAAAAGGAGGAGAGTTATTCAGTAGCACTGAAGCAAAATTTTACAGTCAATTTTCAGCAAGATATTCTAGCTATTATAAAATTTTTAAAAAGCTTCAGAATTATTCCTGAAAATAAAGCTGCAGTTAGTTTATTTGGACCTAAACACTTAAATATGGGATATATACATATACATATATGCATGCACACAAAATAGAGCAGTTTTATGAAATCAAACTGGTATAAACAGGAATGTCTTGATTATCCTACAATCCTTTCCCCTTCCTTCTCTCATCAAATTGTTACCAGTGAAGGCCCAGGAATTGACCAACTACTCAGAGCTAGCTTTTAGTCAGATATGTATCCTGTTAACTTGGTGTTGGTGTAGCTGTTCACAATAATAAAAATGGCAATATCCACAGAGGTTTCATGGAAGCAACAGAGTATTTTGCGTGAATAAGTCTGTGGCTTAACTGCCACTGTATAGTATTACCTGCTCTCTTCCATCAGTGCAGCTCATAGTCCACAAGAATATGAAAAATCTCACCACGTAACAGATATATCTCTTTATATATAATTTGGTGGAAGGCAAAGCCTGATGATAAAGTCATTTTTCACAAGCAGGCTAAAGAATCTAGATCCTGAAAAATAAAGTTAGCCACATTGAGGCTCTCCTGAGCCATGGATAGAAGGCCAGTTCAACCACTCTGAGGATGGCAGTGTGTTGGTGAAAAGAATAAGGAAACTCAATTGGAGCCACTTGGCCTCTCCAGCAACAAGGAAGGAATTTAGTCCCATATGCTCAGTTTGTTTCTGTCAACATTCATTTAATGTTGATCATGTGGTTTATGCTCTCTGCTCAGGGGACAGAAGAATGATGAATACTACTTTGTATGAAAAGTTTCAAGCCTTGGAACCCCTCTGAAAATAAATAGTCCAAATACCAGTTCCATTTCTTTCCCTGCAGGCACAAACAAGGGAAAATTACTTATCAAATACTTAATTAGCTTATTCCCTACCTCTTCTTCTTTGCCTAGGAAAAGTTTCTAGCATCTTGGATGCACATACCAAGAGCTAGCTTCAGTGGCCAGGTTCGTAACTGAAACTCAGTCACTAAATAACATTCAAACCAGGAAGTACCCAAAGTTTAAGGGCCAAATATTCCGTTTATTATATTGGCAAAAAAAATTAGCTGTTCAATTGAACAAGTCCTGTGAAATAGAAATGGGTCATCATTCCCATGCTCCAGGAATTTAACATCTAAAATAGACAACACAGGAGCAGATGTTATTATATCACTGCCTATATTAAATATGTGCACAGCAGAATTTCTACACTGAGACAACTGCATTTGGTTTTTTAGAGTGGACACACTATAGTCAGTCACACTTTGACTACAAGAAACTGTATTATAAAATAAGATGATGTACAGATACAAGAGCAAAAGTCCAACTCTGAACAGTTTCATCTATGTAGAGGGTAGGTACCAATAAAGTCACATCAAAGTCACTGGAATTAATTTAGAAGGCAAACACTTCACTTTGTCTAGGCAGCAGACTTAAGATTTAGGGAAAACTAAAAGTATAAATTCTTCTGATGAGATGAAGCTCTATGAAACCCCTGAACATGATGAAAATAAATTTACTTACCCGAATAGAGCTCATGTTTACTGTCCTTTCTTCTGGCCATTCCTTTAAAAACAAAAACAAAAAACAAAAAAAAAGGAAATGTAGAGAAATGGGGATGAAAACATTTGGTTAGCAAAAATTACCAGAAAATTAAGATGGCTCTTCACTGTCTGGTTTATTTGCTGCGTTCTATTCCTACCACCACTCTTGGCTTCCTTTTGAATAAACACTCACTATAATCTTCCATATTTCTCCCTAGAAGCACAATCAGAAGGAAAATAACATCATTGTGGATAAAGTGAGCACCATTTTGCTAATCTATGGCCTCATTTTTTTTATTCTGTATTCAGCCACCAGGGTGGAGATGGAAGGTGTTAGAGAAGGCTTTTTCTGAGGAATATGATTAGCCAAACTGAGTTTTGAAGGATGAGGAGGAAGTCTGGTGAGGCAGTCTGTGTACACAGTAGATTCTATGGAACTCTGTAATTCTTTATGAAAACTCAAAGGTAGGTGATCCCATTTATTCCCTGGCTTTAACTATCATCTACCGTACTTCACTGAAAAATCATCAATTCTAACAACATTTTTGATATATCATTGAGAAAAAAAAAACTCTGCTTATTAAACTACATATGATGCAATGAATTTTTAACACTTAGAATTTTTTATTTTATAATGATTGAAAGACTTTTAGATGTAGACAGATTTTGAGCATGTATCATTTTTATAAACATGAAATGGTAAATCTAAACAAAATTAAGTGGTTAAAATATTTTCTAAAATTTCACATTCAGAATCCAACTGTTCTAAATTACTTTTCTACTCAAGAGTTGTAGATATCTATGTTTTTTCACACAACATCATCCTCCATGCCACCGTGTTGATTATGCAGGCATTTCAAACTTAAGTAGATCAAAACTTCATTCTCAACTTGCCCTCCCGAAACACCAAAATAATCTCTCTAGTTCTTCCACCAGTATTCCTCTTGTTAATAAATGGAACCACCAGCAACACCCAGTTGCTCAATTCAAAAAACTCAAAAGTCGTTTCCTTTTTCTCATTCCAACTCCTCATCAAGCCATCAGGTTCTCTCTGTTCTAGCTCTGCAAGGTATCTCAAATCAGTCCACTTCTGTCCACCTTCACTACCACCACTTGTATACAAATCACTATCTATCTTATCTAGACCAAGAGTCTCCTAATTGGTAACCCTGCTTCCCCTCGGGCCTCCTCTTATAACTCTATCCTCCACTAGAAAGCCAAAGTGATCTCTATTAAACACCAACTCAGACCACACTACAACCCTGCTTAAAAATCTTTCAATTGTTTCCCACTGCACTCCTAACAGATCTGTAAGAGTGTCCCTGCATCTCTCCAACCTTATTTCATTCCATTCTCCCTCTTGTTCCTTTAGCTGTAAGCCATGCTGGCCTTCCTTTTTGCCTTGAACTGCTTGAGTATTCTTCCCACTGCCTGGAATACTCTTCTTCCAGCTATTCCTACACTGGCTTATTCTCATCTTTTAGAAGAAATCTCAGATCAACTGTCACCTTATCAAAAAGGCCTTCCTTGAACACCCATCCCTCACAACTCCCCAGTCACTCTCTCTCACCTCACCCCATTTATGCCCTTCATATCATTCCTCAAAGATTTAAGTCATCATGTCTACTTATTTCATTACTTGTTTTATTGTTTGTCCTCATTAGAATATAAAATCCATTTGGACAGAGATGGTATCTACCTTCTTAAGCACTGTATTTGCAGCATCGAAAGCACAGTGCACACCAAAATATTTGTTGAATGAATAAATAAAGAAACAACTAGTTATTAATTCAAAGGTAGTTTATGATAAGAAAACCTAGAGCTTCAGAATTTCCTGAAATGTAAGCTCTACAAATATCCAAACTCATTAAGTGACCTAAACTCTTTTGATACTGAGAACTGACTGGCCAAATTAAATTTACGAAATTATCTCAAAAAAATATGGCTAATTTGAAATATTTGCAATGTGATAATTCAGCAAAATAAAACTGTCAGAATTAAATCATGCTACCATGGTATCAGAGGTTATTTTTACCACCTCAAAGGTTTAATACTTAGTGAGCAGTTGGTGATGAGAGCTCAAAAGGCATTTTTTTTTAAAAGAAAAGACTGACATTAAAGTCTAGTATTTTAAGAATCATACAAAAACATCATCAATTACAAAATGGTAGTTTCACATTTTGCCAAATGTGTTCTGTGCTAGAATTAAACCTTCAAGAATCAACCTTCTTAAAATATTTTTAAATATCCTATTGAAAGAATATATCAATTCCTGATCCTCTAAAACAAGTTTGCTTACCTATGTCCAAGTTAATAATATTTATTACTTTAGAGACTGAGTCTTATAATTAAGACACATACACACACACCCTAGGAAAAAAAGAAGAATTGACCTATGAAAATCAGTTCTACTCTATGATTCACTACCTACTTTTTCAAGTAAGAATTTAATGCAATTATATTGACAGGGTATGGAAATTGGACACCTATTCATTGTTAATGTAAATTGGTATAACCTCCACTGGAAGCAATTTGACAATATCTAACAAAATTAAAAAGATATACCCTTTGAAAGCAAGTCTACCTGGAGCAATTTTATCCAACAGATACACTTGCATATGTGTGAAATGATATATATATATATATATATAGTTCAAACACATTCATTAGAGTATAATTTAATAATAAGATTAGAAATAACTCAGATGCTCAACTTATATGCTTAACTTGTACTACATCCATAAAATGTAACATTAAATAGACAACCAAAAGAATGAGACAGCCCTTTACGTTCAAACATGAAATAAAAGCCAAGATATTAGGTCAAAACAATCAAAAGGTAAAAAAGTATGTATAATGTATAGTGTTTAAAATATACAGTATGTCTCTGGAAGGACATTCAAGAAACAGAGAGTGGCTGCTCTATGATAAAAAGTGTCCACATGGAGCTCCACTTCCAGGATGAGACCACAAGGAGTTTTGTGGAACCACTCTCCAGCAAAATGGGCAAAAGTTGGCAAAAAATATTTTTACAAACCCAGCATTTAAAGTCTCTAGAAATTGTCCTAAAGGCATGTAGAAAATATAAAAATATTAATTAAAATATTAGAAGAGAAAAAGAGGAAGGAACATCAGAAAATCATGAATCAGAAAATGACTGCCTCTGAAATTCTATGTACTTTAAAAATGTAATTTTTACTCAGTTATTGAACTCAATCAGTATGTTTGTGAAGGCCTCCATACTAGTTTTTTCACCATCTGGTCCTTGAGTACATTTCAAAACATCATCTCCTACCACGCTATTTAAAAAAAATTTTAATGGAGTTACTGGGTATTGAACCCAAGACCCCGTGCATGCTAAGCATACACTCTACCACTGAGCTATATCTCCCCTCTGCCCCATAAAGTCTTGAGAAGACCCTCTTGTCTGCTTACTGATATCAACCCACTAAATCAGCAGTATTTGGCTTAAGACTCCAACTCTAATTATAATATTATCCAGCCTACATTCTCCATCTTGTTTAGAAGGATTCTAGAAGGCTTCCACTTCTCTGCACCCTTTTCTTACCTGGCACCACCTCTACACAAGTAGAACTGAACAAATAATCACTCCCCCATCTTTCTCACAACTGCACCTCTTCTCACTTTGCTTAACCGTATTGTAGTAGCATTCACAAGTCTGTCTCTACCACAAGTCCAAGCTCTTGGAGGGTAGAAACTTACTTAACTTTGAGCCCCCAGAGCCTAGCACAATGCCCCAAAGTTAGCTGATACTCAAAAAGAAATAACTAAACACGTCTTGCAATTCATATACACTAAATTTATGGCATTTCCTATTTCTGCCATCATAGTAGTCCTACAGAAAATCTAAAAATTGTTTAAATACTCTTACCTGTAGCAGAAAGGAAACAGTGTAACTCATAAAAGCAGGGTGATGGACTAAATTTAAACTGTTTTTATACTCTGCTACTGCAGCTTTTTCTAAGGCTTTAGCGTCAATATACAATCCTTTCTGGAAGGGTTTGGATGTCCACAGGCAACCAACCATGGCTGTCAAATAGTGATTAAATTCTTGATAGGTCTTGCTGCTGAAGCTGAACTCTGATTTTGTCTATTGGGAAAGAAAAAAAAATTGTCATTATCGCCTATTCTCCCTTTCCTATTTATTCCCAACAGATCATATATCTCTACACTCAATTTTTAAACAATGGTGATTTAACACAGATTCATCATCCATACCTTTGGTACCAACTCATTTTCCTTTGCAGCAGTCAAATTTTTACGATACCTAAAAGGGAGAACAGATAGAATAAACTTTTACCATTACATGCCTTTGATATGTAAATATAAACAAAAGCATACATTTCAAATGTAAATATATGCAGATATGCACATACACAGTTATCTAGCTGGTTAGTTAAGAGTTTTTTCCCCCTTTTATGGTACATTTTCCTCAAAGAATAAAAATTAACAGAGACTCAAATATTGAGTTGTACATTCAAGATATGCACTTGACTCTGTAAATTATATTTCAGTAAGAAAGAAAAAATAAAGGAAATGATTTTAATGTTTCACCATCAAAAAATTAATAGAGGCTCAGGGGGGTAGAGGGTGGGAAGGGATAGACTGGGATTTCAAAACTGTAGAATAGATAAACAAGATTACACTGTATAGCACAGGGAAATATACACAAAATGTTATGATAAATCACAGAGAAAAAAATGTGACAATGAGTGTGTATATGTCCATGAATGACTGAAAAATTGTGCTGAACACTGGAATTTGACACAACATTGTAAAATGATTATAAATCAATAAAAAATGTTAAAAAAAAATTAACAGAGGCTCAAAAGCAGTCACTGATACAGAATATATTTTCTTAATGTGGAAGAAAACGTGCAGTAGGAAGGATAAAGGAAAAAGTTAGAAATGTAATTTTTTCTTATCTGAGAACTATTCTAATTAGCTTTTAAACATTTCAACCCCGGTACAGTTCTACAAGTTATACCAAATCTACACTTATAGACTAAAAAGAGCAATTTCAGTCCATTAAATGAAAAAATTAGGAGGGATCAGGAAATAATGCTTACAATTTCATATAATTGACACTAGCTCCCCTTATCTCTCAGAAAACGTTTTTACCACAGAAGCTACGTAGACTTAAACCAATTGTCAGTAAATAACTAATTTTTCTTTGAAACATAGCAACAAGAATTAACAATGCTGAATGCAGCAGTACCATTGCACAAAAGATCCTTAACTATGATTTCTTTTAACCCATATACCCCACAATGACATTTAAAAAACAACACAGAACAGTCCCATATTGGAAGAAAGCCATGTTTCCTACTTCCATAGGCCTGTGCAGAAAATGGATAACAATTTTATTGTATTTAATATTTCACTATATTATATATAATACACTTATCATAGTATATTTATAAATTATAAATTATTGTAGAGCTGGAAAATAAAGATGGAATTATGATATACTAATTCATAAAATGGTAAAAAGGCTTTGTACCTGTCCAGAATGTAACAGAGCTGATTCAGGATACTGGGATCCAGGCTGAGGAGTGCAGGATAGAAGACCCCAGGAGGAAACAACACCACTAATGGAAGGTTATAATTTATATATGTGTCACACACCTTTTGGGAAGAATGATAACATCAGTATATAGATTATTCCTCAGAACCCCTCAATCAACTTCACCCAAAGAATCATCACTAGAAAATAAGCAATAATACAACATCAGGTTTAGGCCTGCCTGATTCATAAACAGAATAGGTAGCCACAGCCTGCTTAAAAATGCACCTCACTAAACAGCAACCTTACCACAGAGGATTATTCCTAGAAGGTCATTAGTAAAATCTTTTAATTTTTTCTGGGGAGAGACCTTAGAGTAGGGAGAAAGGGGAAGGGAGCATTTCTTTCTTCTTTAAGTCCCATTAATACTGATTTGTCACATTAGTTGGCTGTCAACCTGGAGAACAAAGGTGCATGCTTCTGGGCAAATGTAACACAAGACAACTAGGTACCAGTGAAGGGAGAAAGCCAGGAAAACTGAGATTAGTGGGGACTTCCTAGATAATAGTTCTATCTCGGTTGAATACTATAAAACAATAGAAGAGGACCAGAATCATAGGTACTGGGAATAATAAGGAAGTTGAAAGGTGGGGGTGGAGAGCTGAAGAAAAAGAAGGTATTTTTGGTTTTTACCAGGGGCTGGAGATGTACCACGGATGAGCAAAAAGTGATACTAGAGACAGACTTCTGTCTAGCGCCAGCATTATCCAGAGGAATGTCTATTAAAGTGGTACCTAGACTTTAAAAAAATCATGTTTTTTTCCCTTTGTTTTATGAATGTTGTTCAGGCAAGAATACACTCATTAACTTCATATATGTAGCTTATTTTAACTATGCTAATAAGGTCACAGCCCAATGTAATAGCTGTGCATAATAAAATTTAAACAGTAGTCCAGTAAAGTGAACAGCCATCACAAAAATCTGAATAGGAAAAATGGGATGCATACTACCTTCTCATAGAAATCCAAGATAAAGTGCAACAAGAAAGTACTGTTGCTTTCCAAGCGCATTGCAGTAGTGGACAGCCATCCTACATAGTGAATCAGTTCAGACACAGAGTTCATGGATCCACCTAAAGTTGTCTCCCTGAAATAAGAAATCATGGCATTCAGATCCGTATTAGTAAAAGTCCTCGCAGTTTCCAAGCTAAAACTGGATAATATATAGCAAAAAGTTGCTGGGAATTTCAGAAAATGGTAAGTGCTGCAATGTATAATTTACTTTTTTTTTAGAGCACAGTAATTTATCATAAAACTAACCCATCCCTCTAGGGAACCATTAAGATCAATTCATAGAACATCCTCAGCAACCACTGTACTAGTAAATACCTGAGAAATAAAGGATTAAACTTTCGACAGACTTTTGATAATATTAGCAATGTCCAGGGACCACAGCAGTCAGCAAATTAGTTTCTAAGTACACAAATCCAAACCCAGTTTTGTCTAAATTCCTGAACTAAACTGCTGTTAATATTTTCACTTTAATTTAACTGGAATTCAATTCAATTCTAGAACAGAATTAGTAACATTTTAGGCACCTTTCTTTCTTCCAGCAAAAACCAGATTTGGGTATTTTATATTCTTCCCAAATCAATGAACCATGTCTCTTTAAATCACACATGGGTATAATTGATTCAATCCATCCATCTACCCACCCCTGTCCTTTAATCCACTGTTTAGTGAATTAGGAAAAGACTTGGGAATTGTGATTTCATAGCTTTACCCTCTGATCAAGGGGGCCAACAGTGGTTATGCACAATGAAAAAGGAACAGTATATAGTCTCCGAGCTTGAAATGATGACTGTACCATTACCAGAGCAAGCACGGAAAGATTAAGAGACCATTCAAACAGGCAGGCATCCATACAGTCAGCCCGTCACTTGCAAACTTATACTTTATGATTTTTGACAGGACTTATATGCATCTGAAATAATTTGTACAATGGTAACTGTTCAGACAGCATCCTTTAGAAGTGTTTCTCCACAGGACACTGCTGGCATTTTGGATGAAACAATTCACTGTTCAGGCTGCCTCCTATTCCCCACCCACCATAGCACACTTAGCACCCCTGGCTCCTACCTACTAAAAGATGGTAGCACCCTCTTCCAATGCTCCCTGGAGAACTACTGCTGAGAATGGGTCCCCATCCTTCTCTCCTTGTGATCTACAACTACAATATACTCCCTCTTTGACAGTCATATGGTATATGTTCATATGATGGAAACTCATCTTTAAAATAGAAGGAAGTATTGAGAACTTAAGAGCCATCTTATACAATGATAAATAGTATTATGATGAGCAAAGTTACCTACAATTATGTCCATTTATTTAAGGATTTTAGAAAGCAGAACCCCTTTTTAAATGCCTCCCAAATTTATGACACTAATTAAAAAGTATCCTAAAAGAAAATACAGAAACTTTAAAAAGAAAATACAGAAACTGTAAAGCAACTGTATCAGGGTACCTAAAACTTACATGGCAAATTGGCCAAAGATTATAGATGCAAACATACTGTTCTTAACAGAATTGAAGTGTTTGAAGAGGTTGAGCATTCAACGGCATTTCTTTATGATAGCGGTCCTCAGACTTTAGCTTGCACCAAAATCATGGAAGTGCGTGTTAAAATACAGATTATTGGGCTCTACCTCCAGAGTTTATTTCAGTAGGTCTAGGGTATGGCCTGAGAATTTGTATCTCAGCAAGTTAGTTCTCCAGTGATGCTAACGCTGCTGGTTCAGGTATCACACTCTGAAGAGCAATACTTTACAAGATACTTTCACTACTCACTAATGTTCCATTTCCTTCTAAAAGTGATCAGATACACGATATATAGAAGCACTGAAATAATGAATAAGAAGAATTAAAAATTTCTCTGGCAACATCCAAGAAGCTTCTTCTGTTCTCCTACCAAAATAGGAAATCACTATAGGGATAAGAACATACAGAAAAATAGGTCTGGGCTAATCTAACCAAGCCAACCACTAGATATTTGCATCTGAAGATAAGGGATCCTTATCTTATAAAGTAAGATTGTAACTGATAATATGGGGAATTTGAACATTGATTAGATACTTGAAGATATTAAGAACTATTAATTTTTCAGGTGTTATACTAGTATCATTTTCAACAGCTGAAATGATGTCTGGGTTTTGCTTTAAAAATATCTAGTACAAAGGAAGAGGAAAGTGAGGGATATTATAGATGAAAAAAGTTAACCATGGGCAGCAACTGTTGAAGCTGGATGATGTGTACATAAGGGTAATAATCATACTATTTTCTCTACTTTTGATTATGTTTGCAATTTTCTATAGTATAAAGCTTTTTTAAATTAATGTTAAAAAAGAATATAGGAGAAGCCAAAGATTCGAGGTAGAAAGAGTCAAAACAACCTGATTAGGCAGTTCCTTGAAATTCAGTCTTTTAGTTTCACATTGAAGGCAAAGCACACATTTAACAATAATGAACATAATGGAAATTCAGGGCACTTTTTTTAAATCTCAAAGTGAAAATAAATTAATGTATACAAGCAAAATACATCAGAGAGACATAAAAAAAATCTGTACAGCAAAATTATAGGTTTTCCTAGTCATCATCAAAACTGACTTTACATACAAACAAGAATACATTTTATAAAGTAAACTAAACTGAATAGGAGCGAAAGTTGCCATTTCTAACATCAGCTCGCCAATGTTTTGCTATATTAACTCTAGCAAATTACTTAGAGGCTTAGCGGTTGCTTTCTGATTTATGTAAGAGAACTTGAAGAATAACCTTCCTCAGAGGATTGTGGAGAAAAAGAGCGAAGAGTAACAAAATCTTTTTAGAAAAGTATGACTAAGCATTTATATGAAGCAATTAGGTTTCATGACACACTATTAAACTCCATATGCAAACAGTTTTGTACAGATCAACTCTTGTGGAGGGTTATAAGATAACTCACAGAGGACTGTTCGTCACAGATTTCAAGTGGATGTCCATAGAAAGCCACAACAGCCAATTTTGCAGTAGTTCTTTCAGACACTGAAGAACACTACACTAAGAAAGCAAAACAAAAAATCATTCAGACACACCATAGCGTTGAGAATAGACTAAACCAGAGGTTTGGAGGTGGAAGGGCTGTGAAGATGACCTCATCCAATTCAGAACCTAATAGCTGCTGCTCCAAGAGACAGATTAATGCAAATACAAGTTTATTTTGCCATTTTCTCTACAAGACTGCTCTTAGCTCATCAGCAAGGAACAGACTCGTTTCTCTAAATTGTATTCATTTATAACATACATCATCAAATACAGCATCACCTACCCCTTACTGTCTCCCCTCAGAGATCCTTTTAACTTGCTACAGATATGAGCTTCCTACTCTTTTCACCTTGTCAAAATCTGCAATTTACTCCTTTTTTTTTGTAAATCATATTTCTTCTTTTTTTAATTGAAGTAGTCAGTTTACAATGTTGTTTAATTTCTGGTGTACAGCATAGTGATTCAGTTATACATACATATATATATATATATATTTATGTATTTGTTTTCATATTCTTTTTCATTATAGGCTATTACAAGGTATGAATATAGTTCAACATAGGAACTTGTTGTTTTATCTATTTTACATATAGTAGTTAGTATCTGCAAATCCCGAACTCCCACTTTCCCCTCCACAACCCCAGTTTTCCCCTTGGTAACCATAAGTTTCTTTTCTATGTCTGTGAGTCTGTTTCTGTTTTGTAAATAAGTTCATTTGTGTCATTTTTTTTAGATTCCACATACAAGTGATATCATATAGTGTTTTTCTTTCTCTATCTGGCTTACTTCACTTTGTATGACAATATTAAGTCACACTAAGTCAGAATGGCTATCATTAAAAAGTTCACAAATGATAAATGCTAGAGAGGGTGTGGAGAAAAGGTAACCCTCTTACATGGTAGGAATGTAGTTTGGTGCAGCCATTATGGAAAACAGTATGGAGATTCCTCAAAAAACTAAAAACAGACTTACCCTATGATCCAGCAATCACACTCCTGGGTGTATAACCAGTGGAAACTCTAATTTGAAAAGATACATGCACTCTAATGTTTGTAGCTGCACTATTTACAATAGCCAAGACATGAAAGCAACCTAAATGTCCATCAACAGATCACTGGATAAAGAAGTTGTGGTGTATTTATACAATGGAATACTACTTAGCCATAAAAATGAATAAAATAATGTCATTCACAGCAACATGGATGGACCTGGAGATTGTTATACTAAGTGAAGTAAAAAACTGCAAAATGAAGTCCCTGAAAATGTGTTATGTGGGAGAAGTTGTGTGTACTGTCATGTGAGTTTTCCTATAAATGTGGCCAATGGTAAGTGACTTAAGGTGGGAAAAAAAAGTTATAAAAGAACATTACTTATATTGTCACTCTTTTGGAATAGGAATAACCATTCTACAAGAAAGTGGCTCTGAAACTTAGTCAGATAGAACTCCTCGGAAGCCACAGTGGTCTTTTTGGAGAACACCCCAAAACAGTAACACATTTTAATTTTATTATATAAAGTTAGAACACTTTTATTAGCAGAAAAATGACTATATTATAAATATATAGTATGAATGACACATGGAGTTTTGTTTGTTCTGGTCATTACTATATTCCCAGTGTCAAGACAGGCATCAAGCACATACTGGGTGCTCAATACATATTTGAGAAATGAGTAAGTGTACCTACAAAATTATCAACCACAACAGTGGTATACTTATTTCCCAGTTTGTTTTTTACTAACACTCATTTGCCATCTGTTCATTCACTTTGTCATCTACTCCAATTGGGAACAGTTCAGGAAAACTACATGTGACAAAATCTTAAAAACAAAATTCTACACATTAACTTTGACTTGAATGATGCAGTACCTCAAGTCCAGGTCCAAGCAAATCCTGTTAGAAAACTATTGCTGTAACATGGGTTTGAAATTGTGTGCCACTGGCCACAGACTAATACTTCCTATTGAATCTAAGCAAGACAATTGTTTTTTTACCTTGAAGTATATAGTTGATGTGAAGAAGAGCCGGGACAGATGGTCAAAAAGAAGTGGTTTCACCTCTAAAAGTTAAAAAAAAAGATTATTGAAAGTCCTTTTAATTAATATTACATTGAATTAAATGACTCCATATTTTCGTGATACATACCAGAGAAGCTACTAAAAGGAATCCAGCTCACAAGTTGAAGGAACTGTGACCGACAACAGAGGCCATCCCAGAGAGGAAGACTCTTATACAGGAATGCTTCACAGGAATAAAACCCCTCCTGTAACACAGGTGGATATTAAAACCTTGCGTGGAACTCTTCAGGCATAATTACTCTTGAAATAACCAGTTTATTTTGGGCTACAGTTGTTTCACTCTTAGACTAATTTTTTGTCATAATATAATTAAAAGCCTTGGGTTAGGTGCCAGACTTTCTCATAAAAGGGATCAAATGATTAATATTTGGATACATTAAAAACTTTATCAACATAGTTTTCAAGCACCATAAAACTTCACTGATTGGAAAGAAGGTAAAAAGTCAAGTTATGGAATATTTTTAAAGATGAGTGAAATTGTATTGTTTTGGAATACATACAGTCACTTGAACAGTCAATAAAGCGTATATAATGTTATTAATAAGGCTGGAATTTCATTAGGGGCCACAGACTAAATCCAAATTCTGGGCAGCTCCATCTGGAGAAGCCTGGGAGTCTAGGCTATTTATGTTTCTACCAAAGAGAGGATCCAGGGCTTTCCTTTTTTCCTTTATTGTCCTGAGCCTTAAATAGTGGCATGCACTGAGACTCTATTCTGGACCTTCTTTTCGTGACATGAATTCTCTGGACAATCTCATCTACAACATAGCTAAAACCACCACCTATATCATGAGGAGTCCTAAATTTCTGCATCTCTAATCCAAATCTCATTTCTGAGCTCTAGACTTTTTATCTAACTGCCTACTACTGGACCTCTAAGATATCCCACAAGCATCTTTTAAATCAAATATATCTTTCTTTCCTAGCCTGCTTTTCTTATATTTCCATCATCATTCTCTCAAGCAGGAAATCTAAAAAGTCAACCTAAATTCATCCTTTTATCTTCACCAACATTATCCACACCCAACTTCTAATTCAATGGTTTCACACCAAATGCTTAAGATTTATTCAACTAACATTTTTTGAGCATCTCTTTTGTACTAGGTACCAAGTTGAATCCCTGTACATGAAGAAAAGATGGACATGGTTTTCACCTGTCAGGAGCCCATAATGTGTGGAAAAACAGATGCTGAAAGTACCACGATACAGGTAAACAGAGAGCAAAAGGAGTACATAGAACAAACATCTAACCCAGTCTGAGCAAAGGCTTTTTCATGATGCTGATACCTGAGTTGCAGTGTAAAGAACAACTCTGGGTTACCCAGGCCAAATAATTAATTGGCTGGAACATATTAGACAATCAAAAAACATTTGTTGATTATAAGAACACAAGTAGTGACCCTATGAGATTTACCTTACCGGCTAATTCAATTAACTGAATGCATTAATCTTCAGTTTGTTCTCTTAAATTATAGAACTTTCTTTCTTATTTGCATAATTTGACAAATTCTTTCTTCAAATTCAACAGCACAAAGATCAACATCAATTCAACTTGGCTGTATTTATAATGAATTTTGAATTGAGCAAATACTGTTAACAAAAGATGTCAAGCACCAAAGAGAAGGTTTTCACTGGATATCTAAATAAATTAAGAAGTGGTGGAGTGTGTAGGGAGCAAGCAAAATCTTACTTGTAAGAAGCACTCTGCCCTGATGACAATGTCCAGGAAGTTGGTAAATTCTTTTCCATGTTCATAATTATTCACCTTGTACCAAATACATTCTGGAGCAAAAATATTAAACACAAGCCTCTGGTTGCACAACAATAAAAACTACACAAAACATAATCACCACAACTCTAAAGTGAAAAATTAATGACAAATATAAACAAGCCATCAGTTTCATCCATCCTAGCCAACTCACACTGTAGACTGTAACATATATATGGAGGTGACAGTGAGATGTTCCTCAAGAACTTGGTAATATAGGGGGAAAGCTTACAGTGAAAAAATAAACTGGTCAAAGTCACATATGATGAATGCGATTAGCATTATGCCACACAGTAATCCAAGAGACTATAAATGTATGCATTAAAAGTTTAAAAATGTCTAAAGGTAAATTAGGGTGAGCTGGGGGTAATCTAAGGGTGGTAGAACTTTAGTGAGTAGAAATCTAACAAACTGTACCTTATCCTATCTAAAGACTCTGAGTAGGAAAGGGAGAGTTAGTCTGGAACAGACTAAGACTGACCTTAAATACTTGAAAAGTCAAGATTTGTTTATCCAGGGAAGAAACAATCTGGTGAACGCAATACTATCTTTAGAGACATCCACCCCCTTGGAGGAATGAAATGATCAGACTTAACTGTGGCCTAGATGAAAAACTCCCTCACTGCCATTTCCTTCAGTTTCATAATTAAGAAACCTTCTAATGACTAATTTGGCTCCCATATATACTGATCGCAGAGAGGAGCTATTCTAGTTGGCAAATGGGAACATTTTGGTCACCAGAAAGAATTACTTCTATTATGAAATAAGTTGACATTCTGGCTTACACGATAGTCTCTGAGTTTGGTTCGCATTAATCTGATGATTCTAGGAGGTTAACAGCAAGTTTTTGAACATACAAAGATGAAGAGGCCTTGGACTGTGACAGTCATCAAAGTGGAGCCACCTAGTGAGTTTTCGTGGTCATCCAGCAGTGTTTCCTTAACAACTCACCTCCTTTATTAATCCCTCTTAAAATTACAACAATGGCAGCATTCAGGCTCTGAATACATGATTATCAGAAACATAATTACAGCATTTGAAGGCTCCTCCTGTCTAGAAGTTTGGCACCCTTTTAAAAGAAACCCATTGGTAAACTGTCTCGTTCCTTCTTCATTCATCCAACACTTTTAAGTATCAACTTTTACCTTCTTGTAATGTTTGACTCAACCAATGATAGAGCCTCAGTAAGACTGACTCATCTCTGACACAGTTAATATAGTGAAGTAGCAGAGAGTTGTTCAGCACTGCGCCCATCTGAGAAGGCAGCTGCGAAGACAGAACAATCGGTCAACTCTAGGTATATGAAAAGTAAGCCAGAGCAACAAGGCAATCATCAGATAGGAAATATATAACAAAAATAAAGTCCATGAAGATCAAACGGAAAATGTAAATAAGCCCATGGTCCAGTCACATACCTCTAAGCAATGGATGTTCTGTAAGAGCTGAGGGAAGCTTTTAAGTTGTTCCAGTGGAAATGATCCATTGCTACTGAAAAAATCAGAAAGATTCATCCCTTTTTTTCCACTTTCTTTACTGTAGTTACAGGAATTTAGCACTGGTATAACTGAGTGAGAATTCCATTTCTAAAAAAGAAAGGTAAAACAATCTTTCAATGGAGTAAACAGATTACAAACTATAAAGGTAAAAGCATCGTTAAGGTGGTTCAGTGAATGGAATCTGAATGTGGTGTGCAATAGAATCCTGGGTAATTAAAATGTATCTAAATATCTATAATCTCTTCCAATATCTGAATAGTTATTGCTTGAATTTAATGAAAGAAGGCTGTGCAAGTCATGTGGGGTTTTAGATACTTACTCTTTTTACAGGACAGACATTCCCTAACATCAGCTTTAGAGGTTCTGGAGCAAGTCCCTGATTCCTTTGCCTCATAGCAAGTAGAGCTGTCTTCCACAGATTCTCTGAATTCTTAAAATAAATCTATAAATTTGAATGTAAAGTACATGAGAGGAGGTATGCATAAGTCGGAGCAAAGCAAAATCTAAACCTCTTCAATAATTGAAAGTATATTAATTATGAAATATTTTGCACCCATGCAAATCCATTTAAAGTTTTTTTCTAATCAGGAATTTATTAAACACATCAAATGGAATCAAAACAAAGTGCCAATCCCTAAAACAAAACTTCCCAGAAACAGCACCACAATACTAGATCTTAAAACAGTATGCTATAAGCATTTCAGTTCAAATCTGTAAGTTAACTTACCCAAAATAACATATTTCAATCGCAATATGACTTATCACTCCTTAATCCCTTACCTTCTTCCTCACAGGCAAAGATACAGAAATCAAAGTAGGAACGAAGAATTTATACAGTGACAATAAAGCCTGGAGATGAGGCTGCATTCCCTGAAATAAAATAAGAGTTTTCAATTTTCAGTTCTGTGGCCAGTAAGAAAAAAGTAACAGTAAAATAAAAAGATTAAACATATATTCAGACCCTAATTTTATTATGTGAATTTTATTATTTATTAGCTAGAGGAAGATGCTATAGAAAATCAAGGAATAAAAACCCATTTAAATCAGCTATCATAAAGCAATCCTTGCCAACCTGTAACCTTCTCTTTTATGATCTTTTTCCCTAATTTACTTCTTCGTTGTATTTTCTCTGCCCTGCCTTAGGCATACCAGTCATATCTGCTAGCATGGCTTACTCCCACTGGTAGAACCCTCAGGACTCAAAGTTTATTCATTCCTGATTTAAACAGGAGGACAAAAAGAGAAGCCAAGAAGTCAGCAAAGGAAATATTAGTAATTTATCATCATAATTCCTCAAAAATTAACTAGGATATCTATCAGTTGGTAAGCAGAAGTCAAACAGCTTGATATAACTGAAACAAGTCTTCACATGACTTCAATGATAGAAGTCATTACTGCTAGATACCTGTGTTTGATCTATCTAGCTATCCAGAGAAAGCATACCACTAAAATTCCATGGAAGTAACCCAATTGTTTTATTATACCACAATTCTGTTGAATTAAATACTGTACAAAATAAGGAAGGTAGAAAATGGGGCTTAGAAATACAGTATTCTTATCTTATAATAGTTTCTTGAAATTAAATTTATTATAACAAAACCAAAATGACCCAGGCTATCTATGCTGAAATATCTTCTGATCTCTGTACTCACTATCAATTAGTATCAGAGTGTTTGCTTTGAGTTAGAATGTTTTTGACAGAGCAAATATTTAGGAGTGGTAAGACCTTTAGAACTTAATTGTCTAGTTAACTAAACCTATTTTGATTGTTAAAAATTTAACAGTCTCTTAAAAAAAAGAGAGAGAGACTTCCAGTTAAACATGGCATATTGAACACACATGTTTAATTCTGGGTCCTCCAAAAGCCCCCTCTAAAAAGTAAAGGAATGAAAAAAGGCATAAAGCAAGAGTTCAAAGAGAACCAGAGAGTAGACAATAGCAGATGTGAGGTCTCAACAAGATTTTGAAACCTGGAATGAAGATGGCAAACAGTAACCAACTTAGCAGAACAGAGAAAACGAAACCTAAGGCAGCAACAGAAAAAGCCTCAAAAGCAACAGATTCATACTTCAGAACTCCCAGAAAGGCTCAAGAATTTGAGGGATCAGATACCTCTCAAAAGTGGAGGTGCAAGAGGGCTAAAAACAGCACAATTGGTTGAAAGCCTATGTAAAAAGCAGTTAGAACCCAAATTCCTTCACTATTGGCAAACACCAGGGTTTTACTCTGAAGATGAAGCTGGACTCAGACAGCAGGCAGAACTGAGGGAGTGTACCAGAATTTTTCCGCAGCCCTTTCTACTGCTTCAGTCCAGAGCTTATAGTCCTGTGACAGTTAATTTTATGTGTTAACTTTGCTGGGCAGGGTGCCCAGATCAAGCATACAGAGTATTTCTGAGGGTGCTTTAGATGAGATTAACATGTAAATAGGTGAACTCTGAGTAAAGCAGACTGCCTGCCACAATGTGGGTAGGCCTCATTCAATCAGTTGAAGGCTCACAGAGAACAAAAAGACCAGTTTCCCCCAAGCAAGAGAGAATTCTTCACCAGACTGCTGACTGCCATTAGACTCAAAGTAGAACATCAGCTCACCTGGGTTTCCAGCCTGTAGGCCCACCCTGTAGATTCTGGACTTGCAAGTCTCTAAAATCATATGAGCCAATTCTTTATAAAAATCTCTTTACATACACACACACACAAACACACACACACACTTTCTAGTAGTTCTGTTCTCTGGAGAAGCCTGACTAATACAACCCCTAGGCAGGTAACAGGAGAATTCTTCTTTGGGAAAAGTGACACAGTCATCTGGGGTATTCCCCAGTGAAACAGCAAGCTCTTACAGTGAACCAGTCCTACTCATGTACACAAGTTTCTAATCACCATTTTAGTGTTTTACTATTAAATATGGGCAAACAAGGCTTACCAGGTATTTGAGAAAAGCCTCTACCATGAAATACCAAACAAACTAAATAAATGAACTCTGAGGAAACATAGACAAAGCGAGTAACAGGAAAAAAAGAAAAAGAAAAATCACAGCCCGAATCACACAGGTTCATGCCTGATAGTGGGAAAATCTCAGAAACTATCCTCACCAATCCTCAAAATGAGATCTAACTCCCCCGTACTTTTCCAAAGATTGCTCTCAATACAGCCTGGTGCATATAAGATAAAAATATGCCTGCTCCACTTCCCACCTTTCTGTGTTCTATGTCCTTCATGATCAGGAATTGTGGGGCATGCATGGGGACAGAAGGGATAAATGCCCTGTAAGTATCAGAAATTCATATATCCAATACATCTCACATGGGCTGATTACATACCTGTTACCATTTTACATGTTCGGTTACATGTGAGCATGGCTATGTCTTCTAGGTTTGATATTGTTGGATGTGAACAAATTCACCCAAATCCAGCTTATCAAAGTAATTTTATGAATGTATCTTTATAAATGGGCATTGACAATGGAATAATTTAGTAATGTACTATATAGAATGTTAATAATGGTGCCATATATTTAATGTCTGGGTTTAAAATTTTTAGACAATATACTAAGTCATTTTTTAACTTGAACATATACTTGTTTCAGTTAATACAAATCAACAAGATCCAATATTTATAGTAAAATTTTCTTATCCCAATGTTTTTCTAATTCCAATGTTGAAATGTTTTGCTGTTAACATGGAAAAATGTACATCTTTTTCAGAATTTCTATTAATGTGAAATAAAATTCAGTTTGGACAAAAACGTTATCATTAATATTCTCAGAGAGCTAAAAGAAGATACTGCATCCAAAGAGCCAAAACATGAAGCTCTTAAGAAAAATCACTGGACTGTACTAACAGGAAACCTCACATAGAGAAGCACAAATGTGCACATGTGTTTCTGTTTTTCATGAAATTTGAATGCCTCTACGTAGGTCATGCAGGCTTCAATAAATAGGCATAGTCACTACAACTTCCTATTGTTTTATACCCAAAGCTTCACAGATTTCTATTACCTGGCAGGTATAGTGGAAACAACAATGCAAGAGAGCTATAAGGCCAAGAGATAATTGTTTAAGAATGCTGGAATATGCTGGAGTTTAAGTATCCAGAAAAGAATGCTTTCCTAGATCACAGCCACAGAATAAATAAACTAGTCATCTTTCTTTAATAAAATAAAGTAGTCATTTGACTACTCCCTAATACTTATTTTCTAGCCATATCAGCCCAGTTCCATAAACAGTTTCTGCTATTTGATATCTATATGTCTTTGCTCATGCTGTTCCCTCTGCCAGGAGTGCCCTTCTCTTCCTTCTTGGCCTAGTTAAATTCTATTCATCATCACCAATCTGATTCTGATTTTTATTTTGCTCCCCAGATTATCTATTGAAGACAATGACTCATTCGATTTTATATCCCCAAAGCCCAGGTCAGTATCCAGCACATAGCACGCTGTCCAGTTTTAGGTCTTTTCAGTACTCACCATTTTGGCCTGAAGATCAAGCAGTTTTCTCACACGAAACGGTTTGACTAGAAAAGGTGAAGAAAAGAAGTACTAAGTCTGTGTGGTTCAGAATAAAACGAAACCTTGTTCATGTAGCTTCTTCTCACATCAAGAATATACGTACTCTGTTCAGTTAAGCCATTAAGCAGATGCTCTTAGATAAAAGTACTAAAAAGCAATTCCCACAAAACTCTGTCACAGAACTAATGCTAATGGTTAACTTTATAAAGGCCAATACAAATGCTAATTCCACAGAGTGAATGTAATACAACTGGAACGAAAATACTCACCATTCTCTTTTTTGGTAAGTAAATATAACAAGTGGCAGACATAAGGGCACTGTCAAAATATAAAAATTAAAAAAAAAATAAATGACACTACATCTTGAACAGAGCAACAATACATTTTCCTCAAATGTCAATCTTATACTGATTAAGAAAAAGGCTTCAAGACTCCACTGAACAATAGTTTTACAAAGCTTCTCTTTTTCATACTACACAATAGTGATAAAAAAATAGTTTCAACTGACATCCCATTATGCCATTTTTATATTTTTGGAATACAACAACACAGACAATTTGAAAAACAGAAAAAGATTCTTCTACCTAACAAAAATTCACGTACTCTTTCCAGTAGTCCGTGTTTATTAGGATACAAAATTAAAACTTTTATCCTGACTTCCCACTTAAAAGCATTTTTCCCATGTTATTTGGTCTTCAAAATGATCATCTTCAATGACTGATTTTAATATTCCAGTGAGTCGATATACCGTAATTTAATCAATCATTTAGCCCCCAGTTTGGCAAACAGCACACACTCAATAAATTCGTTACTGAAACTCCTCAATGATTGGTTTCCTTATATCACTTCATTTTGAGTACCCACTTGTTGAGGTTTTATCCTAGACTAGGGGTCAGCAAACTACAGTCCACCTGTTTTTGTAAATCAAGTTTTACTGAAACACAGCCACACTCACATTTATGTGTTGGTCATGGCCGCTTTCTCACTGCAACAGCAGAGCTGAGCAGTCGTGACAGAGACTGCATGGTCCACAAAGCCTAAAACATTTACTGTCTGGCCCTTTACAGGAAGTTTGCTGACACCTATTCTAGAAGAAAACAGGAGAATATCTTCATGACCAGAAGGTGACAGTTCTTTCTTTCATAAATAAAATGATAGCCATAAAACAAAATTTAAACACCCAGTAAGTTGGAACTCATGATATTAATAATATCTGTTTATCAGACAAGAAAATATTGCAGGGGTGGGTAAACAACAACCTACAGGTCAAATCCAGCTCACCACTGGTTATCATAAATAAAATTTTATTGGAACACAGCCATTCATTTATGTATTTGTTGTCTATAGCTGTTTTTGTACTACACCAGTAGAGTGAGTACTTTTGACAGAGACAGCATGGCACTCAAGCCTAAAAATTTACTACTTGGTCCTTTAAGAAAAAATTTCTTTAGACATTAGGAAATTGGAAAGGTAAATTATTTAATAGGACGAGAGAAAGCAACAAATGCAAAGATTTTCTTTAAACAAACTTGTTATTTTGGTAGTCACAACTCTAAGCTTTAAAATACAGCATTCCACATTGCCTCTCCTCTACCGAGAAATGGGTTGACAGGACCTACTGTATAGCACAGGGAACTATACTAAATATCTTGTAATAACCTATAATGAAAAAGAATATGAAAAAGATTATATGTGTGTGTGTGTGTATGTGTATAAAACTGAATCACTTTGCTGTATACCTGAAACTAAAATAAATTATAAATCATATTATACTTCAATAAAAATTAATTTTTAAAAAAGAAATGGTTGATAAAGACTAAACATTCTTGTAAGAAGCATGAATCTAGATGTAGGATCTTTTTTGTTTTTAAGGGAAGAATACATATTATGACCAAGTCTGCCATCTTCTACAAAATATAGTAACTTTCAGTTAAAAAAAACTTCAGTGCCTCACATCCCTAAGATAGGAACTATTAATAACACTATTTATCATGTTGAGTATGAAATGAGTGTCACACAATCCTTGCCCTAGGCCGCAGCATTATATCTGACATTCTCCTTTAATTATACCTAGAAAGGAAAAATTCATGTGCATCTAAGACTTTATAATTGCCTCTCTGGCAAATAGTTAACCACCACATCTCAGTTACTACAGTCAGCACCCACCAAACCTTATGAAAATGGTTTTAAAGGTTAAGCTCCCTGTTTCTTGATCTGGGTAATATTTATACAGATGTGTTCAGTTTATAAACATTAAGTGAGCTGATCACTTATAACACAGGCAATTTTCTGTACGTATACTTCAATAAATATTTTTAAAAAGAAAAAAAGAAAAGAAAAAGAAGTGGTCCTCCTTCCCCTTTGCCATGCTGAGCAAGAAACTCTCTAGTCACCATCATGAAAACTACTCAAGTATATTATAATTATTTGACAAACATTTATGAAGAGTTCCTATTCATTCACTCACTCAGAAACAAGTATTTATTAAGCAGTGGATAAAACAGACAAAAAGGTCTATTCTTACGAAGTTTACAATACTAAATACTTGGGTTTTAAAAGGCTCAGCCCCTGCCTGGAAGAAACCCTAAGTATATATATCCAAAAGAAGTGTAAGCAGGGCCTTGAACAGGCACTTGCATGCCAATGTTCATTGCACCATCACTCATGTTAGCTGAAAGGCAGAAACAACCCAAGAGTTCATCAACAGATGAATGGATAAACAAAATGTGGTATATACATACAATGGAATATTATTCAGCCATAAAAATGAGGTTCTGATACATGCTATAACATGGATGAACCTTGAAGAAATGCTAAGGGAAAGCAGCCAGACACAGAAGGACAAATACTGGATGATTCCACTTATACGAGGTACCTAGAATAGGCAAATTCATAGATTCAGAAAGTAGATTAGAAGTTCCCAGGTGCTGACAGGGAAGGAGGAATGGGGAGTTATTGCTTAGTGGGTAGAGAGTTTCTGTTTAGGGTAATTAAAAAGTTTTGAAAATAAATAGTAGTGATAGTTGTACAATACTGAATGCAATTAACGACAATGAATTGTATGCTGAAAATAGTTAAAATGGTAAATTTTCTGTTATGGAAAAAATACAACAGGTTAAAAAAATGAAGTACTGATACATGTACAACATGATGAATCTTAAAAACATGCTGAGTAAAAGAAGTCAGTCAAAAAAGACCCCATAGTGTATGATTCCATTTATGTGAAATGTCCAGAATAAGCAAATCTCTAAAGACAGAAAACAGATTAGGAGTTGCTTAGGAACCCCTAAATGGGAAAATGGGAGGTGATAGCTAAAGGGTATGAGGTTTCTGAGGTGATGAAAATGTTCTAAAATTGACTCTGCTTCATGGTTGCACAAATCTTTGAACATAATAAAAAATTGTGGATTATATACTTTAAGTGAGTACAGTATGTGAGTTCCATCTCAACAAGTCTATTTATAAAACATAACCAGAGAAAAGAAATGACAGATTACAATTAGACTAATTCAACGACAATGGAAAGGAGATGCCAGTGGAATAATATTGTCAATGTCCTGAGAGAATTTAACTGTCATCCTAGAGTTCCACAAACAGCAGAACCAATTTTTAAGAACAAGGGAATAGTAAAGACATTCTCAGGGAAAGACAAAGTTTACCATCAAGATTCTACTGAAAGAATATTCTGAAGGATAATACTTTTAGACAGAGGAAAATGATCTTGATTGAAGGTCTGAGATGCAAAAACAAATGATGAGCTAAGACACTGGCAAATATGTGGGCATATCTAAATAAACATCAACTATGAAGATAAGAGTAATGTCTACTGTATGTGTATGAGGAGGAAGATGGAGAAGAATGAGCCAGAACTAAAACCAGATAATAGCATATAATCTAGGAGGGGTGCAGTCAGCATTAAAGATTTCTAAGTTCCTTGTATCATTCAAGATGAAGGTAAAGATATTGGTTACCTTTAGACTTTAAGAAAAAACTTTAAAAATTAAATCAGAAAATTTTAAAGTTACTAATTCATTAAAAAAATAATAAACCCATTACATGATAAATGATATATTTTGTGAAAAATAACTATACTTTCCAAACAAAAGAAAAACAGTAAGAAGAATGACATTATTTTACATTTTACACTATATATGCATGTTAAAATAGGTACAATAACACCTAAAACAACACACACAAAATGTGTAATTTCCAACCAAGGATGGGTGAAAACCACAATCAATCCAAAATAAGAGAGATAAGAGAAGGAATCAGAAAAATGCAGATCATTTAGAAAGTTCAAAATAAGACATCTGCATTTTCTTCTACTGCATCAACAATCACTACAAAGGTAAATAAACTAATTTTCCAGGTAAAAGCAAAAAATCATCAAACAGGATTTTAAAATAAAATCTAGTCATATGCTATTTAAAACAGGCATCTAAGACATGAGGACAAAAGAAGATTTTTTAAAAAAACCAAAAGATGCAAACATACCAAGCAATATACTGCTAGCCAAAAGAAAGCCAGAGCTAGCAATGTCAATATCAAACAAAATGACTGAAACGAAAAGCATTTCTAAGAAAGGGTTTTACTCCATGATAAAGGTTTGATTCAGCAGGACAATATGAAAACTGTAATTGTGCAAACATACAGCCAAAATCGACAGAACTTTAAGGAAAAACTGACAAATCTGCCCTCATAGTGGGAGATTTTCAATGTACCTCACTCAGTAATTGATAGATGGGCAGTGACAACAACAACAAATCCATAAGGGTACAGAAAATTTCAATTCCAATAACCTTCATGCCCTCACTCTACTTCAACAACTCACTCCACTGTCACCCTGAATCTTATCATCACATTGAAGCATCCCCTCTTGAAATCGTAAACTCCAATGCTACAACTTCCTATCATTCCAGTTTTTAATCCCAATACATGTTTAGTTATGTAGTTGGAAAAGAAAGGAGTATCTTAATAGACTTTTCAGAAAATTGTGGATACTAGTCTTTGATACTTCACCAAAACTTGATACGTGGTAGTTTCTTAAGGGTTAGCTGCAATGTGGAATCTGAAATCTTATCAATGAACTCTTTGTACTCTACTCTGTTCCATTAAAATTCATTGATGTATCTTGCACTTTGAATGACTCTTTCACTGATGCATAATTTCATAGTTATCATACTTGGCCATTTGGAAATTAGTTGTACTGAGCCTCCAAACACTGACACATTTCATTACATAGTATCTAAAAATCACATTCATTAATATTGCTACCATTCTCATCAGGAAAGACATTAAGTAGTGGGCAGCTGTGAAGTTCACAGGGGCAGATACACATTTTCCAAATTTGTAATTTTCACTCAAAAGCTCAAATTTTATCACTGGTAACAAATAACGTCAGTTGTTTTCTTTGAAATGAATGTCTTGCTTTGTTCATTTTCAAGAAAACATCTGCCAAATACCCAAGTCTGAATCACTGTAGTTTATGTCAGTCATTCTTTGAAGTAAAAATGGTATTCCATGAAAAAAGCAGCTAGTTTAGCTCGCAACTCAATCACACAAGTGCTTTTCCTCAGGACAACTAATGTACTTTAGTAGGCATGAAGGGATTTATTTGTACTTCCCATTTCATCAAACAGAATATTCAAGACATATCTCAAAGGTTGAAGTTTAATAAAATTGGTGAATTAATTTTTACTGCTTCATTTGGGACATTATTAACTGAAGTTCGCATTGTCATTTTTTACTGCAGTGAAGAATACAACAATCACTAGGACAGTATGGCCCCACTGCCCTGATTTGTGCAAAGGCGCCAACAGTTTTATCCACCATCAGTGCAAATGTCAACACAGTATAAATAACTGATAATATCTTGATATTGCTATAAAAATCATTTCAACCTCTCAGATCTCCTGAAAGGTTCTCAGGGAGCCTCAAGGGGTCCACAAAGCATATTTGAGAATTGCTAGTCTAGGATGTCATCATATTATACCTGGATTAGCATGTTAGTCTCCTAACTAGTGTTCCTGACCCTAGCTTCCATCTTAATTCATAATGTTTGGCACTACTAGATACAACTCCCAACAGTGTTGCTTTCAAAATGTTCTGCCCAAAATTTTTCAGTGATTTCCCCACTGGATAAAAGTTCAAATTCCTTAGCAATCACATGTAAAGACCACGACAGTTTTTGCTCACCCAACTTTTTCAGCCTTACCACCTACCACTGCCTGACACCAATTTGCAGTTAAGTCAGTCTGATCTATTTAATGTCTCTTGAAATACAATTTATGCATTTCACAACTGTGCTTGAAATATTCCTGTCATATCAAGCATCAAATCACAAATCCTATTCAACCTTCAAGGCCCAGTTCAATGCCCACATACTTTATGATGCTTTTTCTAATCACTCTGGTTTACAGTGCTCTCTTCCTTCCTGGAAATATCACAGCAATTATTATCCTCACATTATCATATACCGTCTTTGATAATTTAACTTATGCAGTTATTTAACTGTGTGTTTCCTCCGACTGAATTATAAACCCCTTGGAATATGGAAACTCTCTGCTAAACTTTGAATCTTCTACATTGCCTAGTACAATGCAATGAACACAGTTAATCTTTAAAAATGAAATCAATGAATTCCCTTCTCAAAGGCAAGAGGAACTCAGATGAATGGTCCACATGGTCTATGAACTACTGATGGTCCTTGAAAGTCTTCCAGGTGGACAGTAGATTGATTTCTTAGAGTTATTAATGTTTTCAATGGGAATAATTTTGCTATTTAATCAAAATCAGTCCATTGGCATCTCATGAAAAGTAATCCTCTCCTTCTCATTAATTCTGATGAGGTTTTTGCAACGTTAATCAAGAAAATGTATAATAAGTGACCCAAAGGACCCTGTTGAAGTGGTTTAAAAGGGAAAAGATGGCAATCATTGCTCTAGATCAGCCAAGAGACTTCAATGTGGACTCAAATCTATCTGTAACATTTTACTTCCTTAAAAAAAGATATAAAGCAAATGTGGTAAAAAAATTTTTGTTAATCTGAGAGACAGGTGCAGGGGTGTTTGTTACGTTATTCTTTACACTTCTCTATATGTTTCATATAAATGTTCCATTTATATGGTAAGGAAAGTTGTGTGGCACTTTGAAGCGCATATGGTGCATCGATATACAAGTATGTACCATTTGATCGATTCATGATGCTGTCCAATTTTTACTCACCAATGCATCATCTTGCAATGAAGCAAAAAAGAAGCCATAGAGCAAGTTAATTTGCTCCTTGTGATCAATGAAGTCAAACATTGCAACCAGCCAACGATAAAAAAGTACCTATTGAGAGACAGAATGCTTATCTTTAGAGAAATATAGCAGCACAGAAGAGCTTAATTCCCCCATCAGAGCTGTTTTAGAAGCCTCTAGCACAAAGTAGGATAATAGATTTTATTTCTCAGTAAAAATTTCTATTTGAACAGAGTCCTTGCATCAAGCTATATTGTTCCAAAACTACAGGCTTTGCACAAAAGGCCACTGCCATTACTCTCTAAGTGGTTCTTCCTTGCCAGCCCTTAAGTGGTTCTGAAAGACTTATCATCAAAGTGTTTAAAAAGATTACCTTGGTGCTACCAGAACACTTGCCGACACAAAGCCAGGAGACCGCCTTAACCACAGAATCTTCTGATATTAGAGTTGCTGGAATCATACACTTGAATATCCGAGTGTTTACAGCACTCCCTAGAAAGCAGACAAACTCTAAATTAAATTACATTTTAGTACCTTGATCATTCCCTTACTATATTATTCACTCTCGGTCCCAAAAATTTGACTTCACACTGAAGGCAATAAAGTAATATTTGATCTCTCTTATCATCATTGTAAAACATAGTTTGAAACAAAAATGTACCTTTAACTTCTAATATAAACTATAAAGCAAATTCTTTGGCACTAATATTTTTTATTTAACAAGGGAGGATGAGTACAGGATTTCTTCCTAGGATAATGAAAATGTTTAGAAATTAGATAGTTGGTAATGGTTGCACAATTCTATGAATATGCTAAAAAAAATACCCTGAATTGTATACTTCAAAAAGGTGAATTTTATAGTATGTAAATTACACCTCAAAAAAGGCTTATTACTCCTAGGAAAATTTCAAGGACTTTTTTTTTAATGGCAGAATAGATTCTGATTTATTTAAAGTTACTGACAGACATCTTGCATGAGCTGCCTACATTTAAGAATAAATAGATATATTGGTATTCCCCATCCCCCTAAAAAAGTGCAAAGTATAGCAGAATGAAATAGCTATCCTTGCAAATGGCTAGTAGTAATATTATTCTCTACTGGTCCAATCTTTCTATCATATTCTCTGGCTTCCATGGTATTCTCCCACCTGTTAATAGAAGTGATGTTGCAAGTAGCTTTGTGTATACCCTATATCAATTTCTGCTTATTAAGGTTTCAAGAATTATGTGTATATACACACACACACATATATACAACCAATTTCTTTTTGTATTTAAACATTGTTTTATTTGCCTTAAACTGTGGTGATCATAACCATTCACTGAAAAAACACTGTTCTCAACCTCTCATGCAAGGAGAAGCCTCAAAAACATCTTGGATACATGTCTTTAACCACTGTTTTATATGTATTACAGCATGGTCATCACATCCATTCACTAAAACACTGTTCTCAAATTCCCCCACAAGTAGCATTTTAGAAACATCTTATACAGGTCTTTAAACACTGTCTTACACACATTACAACATGGTGATCACATCCATTTACCGAAACAACACTATTCGTAACTTCACGTGCAAATAGCATTCTCAGAAACATCTTATACACGTCTCTTCTTTTCCTAAAGGTATAGGCCTCTTGTTTTTGGTTTTGTTTCCTTGGTGACAAGAATCTATTTTACTTGTAAAGATATGTGATAACTAGTCATTTTCAGCACATGCACATAGAAACTTTGGTTCATAAGGTAGTCGGAATACAAGAAAGGCCCATTTTATAATCTTAGCAGATTGGTTTTATGAAGAGAATAGGAAAAATACACAGTTTTTTAACTGCAACTAATTCCAATCAACAATCTAATTCAAAGTCTGAAAGTCAAAACTAATAGCAAACTGATAAAAAATGTGTCCCCTTGACATACCAAATCTGCCGCTGAGTGCCACATTTAACAGAATGTCGATTCCTTCTGGAGCTAACCCATTCTTCCATGCCACATTTTCCACAGTTTTCAAGTGTCCTTCCAAGGTTTTATCTTTCCTCTGTGAAGTTTTAATGGGACCTAGGAAAAGGAACAATATTAAATAGTGAGACCTTGAAAATTCTTTCACTCCTCAGCCTCAACAGTTACAACTTGGGATACTCCAAAGCAATAGCTTTATGTAAAAAGAGGTCTTCCTAAAAACTCTTCAAAGCCTTTAAAACTCTAGAATTTTTCACCACAACAGCACCTTCGGTGAGGAAAACTGAATCATGCTCCGGCATCTCTGCTCTGAACAAACTAAAATCACTAAACTTAGACTGTAAGTTGTTTCGATAACTAGGGCAGTGGTTCCCTGCACATTGGAATCACCTAGGGAGCCTGTAAAAATATCCCGACACCCAGGATGCATCCCATACCAATACAATCAGAAAGTCTAAGACTGGATGCCAGGTACTAGTGGTTTTTAAAGATTCTCAAGTAATCCCAATGTGCAGAAGTTGGGAAACCACTCTGCCAAGACTATGCTTTGCTGTTGTATCCTTAGTACCTAGCATACTGATATGTAGTTACGTGCTCAATAAATGTCCATTAAATAAACAAAATCATGAAAGAGCAAAAATATGCTTTCCTTTAAAAATCCTTAAGGAAAAAAGTGTAAAATATTTTTACAGGAACAGGAGTTAGAGAAGGAAAACAATCCATCTTACCTTTCTCAAAGTATCGCACTGCAATCTGCAGAGCATCTTCAACTTGATTATCACCATGTTCAAAATCTTCCACCGCACTGTTTTTTCTGTGTTTAGGTACGCTCTTTGAGTCATTCAGGTCCTCTCTTACTTTCCAGGCCGAGAGTCTAGTCTGATAACTATTACTACATTGTGAAATCCTCCTTTGTACCTGAGCGTTCTTAACTTTCCTTTCAGGCGCCATTACTGCACACGTTCTACACAGAAGCAAGCGTCGAGTTACCATCAACCAGTCAAACCATCCCTTTTTACTCCACAAAGACAGGGATCACATCTGCCTGTAGTCCCCATATTTGGTACAGAGCACCTAGCATACAAGTACACAATAAAAAAACTGACAGTAATCCAGGCAACAAAACCCATAGGTTAACTTTCTCAGAAAGCCCTTGACCTAAATAGGAACAGAGAGAAACAACCCTCCAAGGTAACATTCATCAAATGAACTGGCTTTCTTGTTGGGGTCGGAGTCGGGGCACAGGGACAGAAAGAGTACAGGCAACATAACAAGTTCTCTTAAAATGGCTATATCACATAAGTGAGTCCAAAATTAATTCATCTCATGAACTCAATGTTACTTTCTCCACTTACTCGTATTTTTCTCCACCCTGCCTTGATTGTGCTTTTAATCTTTTATGCTGCCTGCCTTGTCAGTGCTAAGTTAAAACCACACAGTTCAAAAGACACACTGGTTGCCAACCTAAGGATTCTCAGAACAGAAACATCCCCAGCTAAATCACTTGTTCAATAAATAAATATTGAGCAGCATCCATATGCCAAGCACAGTTCTACTTACCAGGGATAAAATAATAAAACAGTCAAGGTCTCTGCTCGAATGAAACTTATGGGGGGTGCGGTGGAGAGGAACATGAAAGTCAATAAATTAGTAAATAACTAATACTGAACATAATATACAGTGATGTGATAGAAAAGGGATGGGGGTGAGAAGCTACTTTGGAGTAAGTGTTCAGAAAAAGCCTCTCTGATGTGACCTTTAAGCTGAGATTTCAATGCCAAAAAGAAACCAAGCATGTTAAGAGCTGGCGGAAGAGTATTTCATGGAGAGGAAAGATCAAGACATACTAAGATCTTAAAGCAAGAGCTCTGTATATTAAAGAAACAGCAACAACACCAGCAAGATGTGAGGAGGGGTAGTGGCATGAAAGAGGTAGAGAGCAGTGGAAGATTAAGTCAGAAAGGCAGCCAAGGACTACCATACTGGGAGCCAGAGGAGTTTGGATTTTAAATGTCACGGGCAACTACGGGGGAAGGGAGGAGTGTTAGAGAGGGCAGTGATACCATCCGATTTATGTTTTAAGACGGTTTTAGCTGTAGCGCGGAGAATAGAGTCTTAGGAGTCCAAGAGTGGAAACAGACAACAGAGCCTTGTAGAAGCCCAGAAAAGATATAACTGTAGTTTGAATTCAGCCTAAGATGTAAATGATGGGAGAGGTAAAAAATAACTGTAACTGTATTCGTGAAATGTTTTGGAGGTAGACTGGGCAAGGTCATAATAAAAGAACTGGATGTAGGGAAACGGAAAGAGAGGAAACCAGAATGGCTTCTAAGTTTTTTTACTTCAAACGGGAAAGCTAAGAGAATGATCGTAATTGACACTCAATCCCACCTCGCTAAAACAGATGCGGCCACAGCAGGAGAGCAATATGTATGTCAAACCCACTGGGTGGTTCCAGGTTCCGAGTTGTTTCCTTGGGGCCTAAAAAAGCAGGGCAGGCGAGCATCTTCTGACCCTTTCCGGTTGAACCGTCCCATCGCTCCCCAAGAAACCCCCTTTCACAGTCTCCCCCAGCAGTCAGCGAACTTGGCCGCGACGAGTGACTGACCCACTGGGCAGATTCCTGGTCTGAGGGGAAACCCTACACCTTCCAGGATAGTCTTGCTCAGAAGTCAGGACATTCCCTTCGGTCTCGGGGCCCCCATTTTACGCGGTGTTTAAAAGTACCTCACCTAAAACACTCCTCGGTCCCAAAGCCTCCGAAGTCCAAACATCGCCTCCAGGATTCAAACGCGCGGGCCCCGCCCCGCGCATGCGCTTCTGCGGCAACGCAGACGGCGGCGGGGAGGAGCGGCGCGCTCTGCTAAAGCCTGATTGGTTGGGTCACAACTCAATGGCGCGAGGCGGGTGCGCGCGCGCCGACGGTGACGCAAACCCTATTCCGCAGAGCCGCCGGCCCCACCCCCCCGGCCGGGTGACGCGCGGCGAGGGTGCAGTTGCTGTTGAAACCAGCTGATTGGCTGACGTCCCCACTGTTCTAATAATGTTGGCATTAGTCACTGTGCGTAAAACTGAACAATTAGCGACGCTATTCTTGAATTTAACAAGATCAATTACAATGATCCTTTTGCTCAGATTGTCCCCAAATGCCGCGACACTGAATCTGTACGGAAATATGAAACTGAAAAGTTCAGTAAAGTCGGCTTCTCCCATGTTGGGCGAGAATTAAGTTAAAGGTCTGAGATCTCTTGAAGCTGTCGCCACGAGGTGGGAGGAAAGGACGGCTGAATCTTCCCTCTTTACCGAGGATGGGCACGTATACCTTCCAGGTTTTGTTGGAAACGTGTGTCCGGAGCTAGATGTGACGTAGCTGGCCAGTCAGCACGTAGATTCCTAACTTTGAGGAATCTATGGACCTTAAAGAAACTGGCTAAAACAGCAACAAGGGCTTAGTCTGAGATCTGAACTTAGTCACTAGTTTGATCTCTTACTAGAGTAAGTACTGGAGAGGAAAGATAAAAATTTAAGGACTCTCACTGATTTTTTGAGGTTAAAGCATACCCATAAACTGTAGGCAAAACTTTGCAATCTTGGGGAGAGATGAAGAATCAGACTAAGTTAACGTATTTGGGAAAGACTGTAGCAGAAATGATTATTTACCACATCCCACATGGTTTTCAAAGTACTTTCAAGAACTCTTATTTAATCATGCATGAGAACTGAGTGTTCAATATTTTCTATGAGAGCTGCTCTTCCTTATTTAGTAAAACTGAAAATTTCTCGAGTCATTTTTTCATAGTTTTAATCCTTTCATAGGCTCAAATGTAAATTGGAAAGTATTTTAAGCTTTCAATCCCCTTCTTTTTTGTAAATGAATTGGGGCCCTGAGTGCTAAAATTAACTTGCTTAATGTGACAAGTCCGTGGTGCTAGAATTTGTACCATTTTGTGGATACATATACAGTGAGAGACGCTGGGTCATCTTTATTTAATATACCTGCAATTTTTTCTGAAGTCACTCTTCCACCTTCCCCTGGCATCACCTAAGGAAGCAGAACTCCTCAAGTCTGGAAATTGTATTGAGATCCTAATTCTGTGACTTTCTGTCTTAACGTGCTGACATCTCAGAAGTGTCCGGGAACTTAGATTGGAAAGTTGGTAACCTTATTAGTATATTAAGGTATTATACTTCCCCTTCTCTTTCTTCTCCTCCCTTATCCACTCAAAAATAAAGCAGTCTGACTCCCATGATAGGACCCTTTCTTTCCAGATTTTCATTATTTGTCCAGACCATTTCCTCCAAACTTCAAAAATTTTTATTTTGAAAGAATGAGAGAAATAAGACAGAGAGGTATCAATTAACAAGAACAATGACATTGAAGAAAACACAATAGTTTGTACTCCCCACACACACAACACCCCCACCCCTTTCCCCATCCCTGGCACAATAATATTAAAACCATCAAAGCACATCTAACAAGGAGAAGCAGCAGTATGTAATGAAGAAAGCAGAGTTTCATACTGCTCAATCCAACCAACCCGTATCAAATGTCCTTCCCCCAGCTAAACTCCACCTGCTGGAATGATAAAGAGGTGCTGAGGAGGCAACCTTGGGGGTAACTTGGATCTCAGCTTACACTAGCAAAGCTCAGTGAATATTCAATTGGTATAGTGAATCTGTTTGGCAAGGAAACACTGGATACAGCTCCTCTGTCAAATTTCAGATAATCTAAGAGAACGGCTCGAGTTTGAGATTCACAGACTTCTAACAGGACTAATCCCTGCTCCCTCAACTGCAACAATGGAGCAGCTGCCAAATCCTGGTTAGCTACTGAGAAGAGTAGAAGTGAGGCAGCTTTTGGCTTAAGAAAATCCCAAAAAGATATCTGGTAACAAGTTTACTGTTTCAGTTTCCAACTGGGAGTAAAGGAGTTTAGTAGGTTGGGCTCAGACAAAATCAAGGTGAAACTTCCAATTTTATCACTTGAAGAATTAGATTACCTATTGACTGCATATTTCCCTTATTTTAATTAAACTCAATATGGAATATGTAACATTTAAACAACTGTTAAAAGTAGAGACTAATTAATTCTCCATATAATTCAGTGTCTCAAATTGAAGGAACTTTTTTCCTAAAGTGGTAGGTTTAAGTTTTCAGCTTAATCTAGTGAGGGATTCCCCCATCCCATGGGAACACATAGTTTGCTTTATACCAGAAGTAGGATTCTCTTTATAGGAGGTATATTTTATTCTGCCTTCACTAGAATCAGTCTATAAAGGGAAGGATACCTATACAAGATTAGTTCAAGATTAGAGCCTTCTCCTTCGCACATACGTGCGTGCACAAACACACACACACACACACACAGTAAATAACATTTTCCCACACATAATCTCACAGTCACATGCTTGCTGGAGTCCATCTCACAAAGACACTTCAATAATTAGCCATATACAGGTACATGCAGCAAGATGTGAGAGTTGACCCAGAGTGATTAAAGGTGGTGCACATATGTCTATGTGGGGAGGTCACTTTAGGGTATAGATGTACACAAGCCAATTGGGCTATTAACTTGCAGATTATATTTGTCCCTTTCCCCAAGATAAAGAAATCAAATGAAAAACACACACTGACATCTTCCTGGGTGTCATGGAGGCAACTGCCTGGAAGGTCCACTTTTTGCATTTCCGCTTTCCTATGACAACTTCATTTTGCCCTGGGGGGCCTTCTCATATAAGGAGGGCTGCTCCTCGGGATTCCCCGCATTGCCAGTGTTCCCAGCATTCCCTGGAGGCGAGGATTTCTTCTCAGAGGACCGGTCTTCAGGCTTTCGGGCAATCAGCAAGCGGCAGGTGAGCAGGATTCCGAACACCAGGGCATGGGCGTAGCGTTTGAGAGGATCACCAACTAGCTGGTGGAAGAAGAGCACAGCCAACACCAGCAAGAGGAGGAAGAAGTTGGCCACATCTTTGGGACGCCCAGGCACAAGGGTCATGACAATGCCACAGGCCACCTCAAGAGCACCAATGCTTTTGCGGAGGAGAATGGAATTGATCCCCATTTTCTTCAGCAGAGGGAGGGCTCGGACATAGCTCTTGTAAGCACGTTTCTAGAGTGGAATACCATAAGGAAATCATTGCATTAACCATGATTTTAACATAGAAAACACAAGCAAGGTCCTTCTTCCCCACCATTCCCTTTCCACACCAGCCAAGGGTGTCCTATTTTTCTCCCATGTCCTCTAAATAAAAGCCTTGTAATTAAGGAAAAAAGCAAATTTAGCAATCTGCTGAGATTTAAACCTTAGTGATGGCACCAAAGGTAAGAGAATTTAGCTTTGTAGTTTAATTTTTTTCTGATAATAAATCATAAACATTAAGAATTTAAAAGAAAATTTACTGGACCCATAAAAACTGGTACGGATTAGCCACATCCACATTTTCTAGTGCCTATCTTGTTCGAACCCAGATGCATATGAATCCCAACAAAAACAAAACAAGGTGGTAAAGCCTTACTAATTTGGACTTCTCTAATTTGGAATTTGTAATATTTTGTAATAATTCAAAAATGAGCTGAGCTTGAGTTTATATTTGTGGAATCTGTAAAAATAAAAAAGTATGTGCAAAGCAAATAGAAAAATTGAAATGTATGCAAATATTAGCCCCTTGTATAGCTTTAAAATATAGTAAGGCAAAACTCATTCTCATGGCCATTGAGATAAATCCCTAGGCTTTGACAAAACACTACTTTGATTAAGTTCATTAATTAAGTTCAAGTTCATTAATTTTAATTCAATAAACTTTCATTGAACATTTATTATGGAGTTTGTGATGGAGATATAGAGATGAATAAGACGGGGTCAAGAAGCTCTTGATCTAGTGGGGTGGAACAGATGCGTAAACAATATTATAAAGCAGCGTGGCTGGTGGTATATAAAAGGATACTGTACAAGGTCTAATTGTAGCCCAAAGGCAGATATCACAGAACAGAGGAGGGAGGCACTGGATCTACTACAAACTAATAGAATTATATTGACCTTAGAGTAATAGATAATCATATTTTTCACTATTCGGATTGGCCCAATCCTCATTTTGTATTAAATTGATGAGATTTTTATCAAGTGTCTTACTCGGTTTGCCCAGTATTTTGTTTTCATTAAGTATCCATTAATTCATTCAATACTTATGAAGTGCCTCCTTCTGCTAGGCATTATACTAGGTACTCTGGATACAAATATCAATCATTCAAAGGCCCTGCTTCCTGAAGCTTGAGTTTATAAGAAGAAAAGTTATGGAAATACATTAAGTGCAGTAAGGTGTTATGGGCACTGTGTTAAATTATGTAATAGGTACAGTGGAGGCATACCCGAGTGGTCAAATCTCCTCAGATAGGGACTAAGAAAAGTGAGAGTGGACTCTTAAAAAAAGAGTAGGTGCTTGCAAGATCAATAAGGGAAGGGCATTGCAGGCAGAGGAAGCTGGATAAGGAGAAGCCGTGAAGCGCAAAATAGACTGGTGTATTTCAAACACTGCCCTGGTTCAGCACAGGTTGGGGAGGGAAGGGAGAGATGTGAGACAGAGGAGATAGATATGAATCAGATCATGGCACGTTGCATTGTGGAGCTGGACTTTATCCTATAAGCCAGCGGAGCAACATAAATTGCTTTTAAGGGAGGTTCCCTCCGGAAATAGTATGGAGGATGGACTGGGAGAGGTATGCCTGGAAACAAGGAGACCACGTGAGAGACCTGGACTAGAGTAATGACAGTAAGGATAGAGGGACAGGGACAGAGTCAAG